TCCAGATTTTGTACCTGGACAGTCTGAGTCCTGATGCATATGGTCTTGCTTAGATAAGACATTTATAATGCTGAGACACTGAACTGTGAAAAAAGTCCTAAGGAATTTTGATAGTAATCTATCCCTGACTTTTCCTGAATGTGGAGTAATTTCTAACTTGAGTGTTCTCTGCATTTTGCCTCCTGTTGCACGAATAGCACTCTGATATTACTTTGAGAATCGGTGGCCGTTTCTCTTCCTGAATATTAGTTTTTTCCCCTTCCTTTGTCAGAGAACTCATTTTTCCTCAAGCGCAATCCTCCATAGTCACCATGTCAACTTCTGTCATTTCAGAGGTCATGATGAATTCCACCCCTGACGGCCCCATCTCACACTGAGGCAGCAGCTACCATGAGCCAGGCCCTGTCACACAAGTGCTTCGTTTGTTCTTGAACATTCCTATCTGGAGAGTCTTCTAAAAAAATGGCATAAACAAGATGAGAAAAGTGAACCACAGACTCCAGATCTCAGCATCTTCTAACCTGTGCTGGTGGCCAGCAGCTGATGCTCATACAATTTTCTTCTGACAGTCAGCTGGGGGGGGGTTGCTTCCTTTCCATCCCTCGGCCACGTACAGAAATGTAAGCAGAATCATTAGCTGAGGCTTCGACACTGGAGTTGAAGGTGAGTGCTAATTTCAACACTACGTAGAACTTGGGACAACAAGGAGCACGTATGACTTCTTCTATATATACAGTCACAGACCTGTAGATCAGCAGAACCTGACGAAGGGACAAGGTAGGCCCTTGTCATGAATGAGGACAAATGGAGCATTTCTAAGGGAGGGCTGAAAAATGTCTTTGAGAAAGCCTCTGCCCCCTGGTTTCTGTGACTATTAAGGGTGGAGTATTTGAGATCAATGTTGTGAGTACGGTCTTAGGGGAGGAAATCTGAGGGGAAAGTTTAAACAGAAATACTTAATGAAGAAATCACTGGGAAAGAGACAATAATGCATCCCCATGTCCCTGATGAACAGTCAAGGGAACAGTAAATGAGTCATGGAAGTTAGGATTCCAAAGAGTGAGTTAATGAGACCCACGGTCACTGAAAGATTCAACAGTAGAGAGGAAATGTTCAGGGGCAGGGAGACTTTACCAGAGAAAGAGCCACATCTCTCCTAACAATTAAGCCCACTCTGTCTTGACATTCCCTCGGAGTGTTGAGACACCGGTGGTAGAATAGTCAGTGAGGGGTACACATCCACTGGCTGGGATGTAGGCTTTCTGAGTTTGTCTTAGGTGAGCTCCGGGGGCTCTTCTGAAGACTCCAAGGTTAAGGGAGAAGACTTCAACTCCAAAAAGATATAAACTTTCCAAAGACAAAAGCTGCCGCAAGGGAGACTAGATATCCTGGGGAGACTGCCTTGCCCCAGGCCAACGACACCCATCATTGCTGGGGTTGGGGGCGGATTACCAAAGTGTCTTCCAATCCCTAGATTTCAGAGACTGGATTTCACATAGATCTGGGCACAGTCCTTGTGCCTTGTGCTTTTTATGCTCCATAAATTCTCCAGAAAACTCTTCTTCTTCTTCTCCTCCTCCTCCTCCTCCTCCTTCTTCTCCCAATCTCCCATTAGTGTTCACCATCGTATCTTTTCCCTATTATTGCCCTGAGAATAAACTTGGTGGTAAATAGATGTCCTTACATGGGTGTACGTGCTTTTTCATTGACTCTTCCATGTCTGGGTTTGGTAAGTGTTCCAAACAGTGCTGGCTTTAAACAAGTATGCTTTTGCGGTGCTGTTAGTGCTGCAGGGCCTTGTTTATTTCTCAGACAATGCCTGTGATGAACCTGGATCCTGGAGCAAGAAGAGCAGGCCTGGATGGAGTACTAGAGTAAGTCTGTAGTCCTCTTCAGTGGCCTCTCACACCCACTGCGAGCCTGCCACAGTGACTCAGCAACATTGCCACTATTGCCAGAGGAAGAGGCTGAGATATGGAAAAGTCAGCTGATTGCACCTAAGGTCAGAGTCTGTAATGGGGCTTTAAACAGGTGGCCAATGTGTGTTTTGTTTTTTAAAAATCCCCTTTAAGCAATCCTGGATCTTTCACTAAGTGACCTGGAAGATGACATATTCTTGTCCAAGAACCCTACCACAATCTCCAAGTCTTCTTACAGCTACAACAGGGCTCTTCCTATTAATAAAAACAATTAAAACCAAGGCCCATTTTTCAGGAATATTTGTCATTTCCGTATGGCTTTGGATACCTGATCAGCAGGTCACCCACCTTATTGAGGTTTTAAATATAGGCATCATCTTCCTAAGCATTTCCTTTGTCATTCTTTGTTCCATAAATAAATATTGGGCAAAATTCTCTAGTAAGTGCCATAAGGAAATTCAATTAAGATTAAAGTGACTATAAAAAGAAAAGAAAAAAAACACTAAAGAAAAGCAAATAAACCCTCCCCTTCTGGTTCTTTCTCTGAGATCACTCATGGTCATGTGTTTCAGAAACATGGCCCTAGAAATACCCCAAATTTTCCACTTCCCATCATTTATTCATGCCATAGTCATAGCCTGGAATTCCCTTTCCCCAAGTCTCCTACTGAACTTTCAAGCTCCCATCTATGTGTGTGAAGTGTTTCCAAACTAGCCCAGTAGATGTGAATCCGACCTCTCTCCAAGTCTTATTTCAGTGGGTCTTGTAAAGTAGATTTTTATATTACATCTCATTCTCCTACACAACACTGTAACTTTTATAGGACCCAAATCGAGTGGGGTTTCCACAGGCCATGCTCGCAGGCTCATAATGTGTACTTGGCATGAGTTGATGAAATGAATAAAATTAACATAAAATGTCATTTCCCCTTTCCCGTCCCTTATCAGACATTCAAAGATATTCAACATGTCCCTGACAGAAATATCTGTCAGGGAGACAGGAAGATTGTGACTTCCACGTACAATCTGCATCTCCGGTTCCACAAACACTTCGAGGAGGGGACGCAAGCTGCTTCTGCTAGAGGGTGCTTGCCAGGAATTACTAGAAATGGGGTACAGTTCCCCTATTCTATTAGATCGTCGAGATTTTTCTCTTTGTTCTTCCGAAAAGTACATTTAGTGTAATAGTGTGATCTTTTGTCTCCCTTCTCAGCACTAAAGAGAGTGACCACAAACCAGAAATTGCTAGGTATCACTGCTAGAGGAGGAACGCCGGATCTAGCTTGTTCTTGTACTAAGAAAATGGACAAGCTAGGCCTCAGAGTGAGTTCCCTGCCCGCAGTCGAATTTCAAGTTCCTGACACATGGAAAGAAGATTGGAATCTCTGATCAAAGCACATATGTACCCAGATGGTCTTCAAAGAGTGTGTGTGTGTGTGTGTGTGTGTGTGTGTGTGTGTGTGTGTGTGTGTGTGTGTGTGTGTGTAATTCCAGCACTATGCAAGTGGTGGTCAGAGGACAACTTGCAGTTATCTCCTTCTGAATGTGGGTCTTGGGGATTGAACCCAGGTCATCAGCCCCACCCTGCCTCCTCCAGGTGTGAATACCATGACATCTTCTGAGAACTACATCTCTTGATACACCCTCAGTTAGTCTGTTGTTCCTAAGACCATCTGTGTGCAGGTCAGGCCAGCCTCAGCCTCCTGCTGACTCTTGCTCTTAGTCACAGCTGTGTCCAGGATAGATGCTCTGTATACTTTCTCCTCACCCCAGCAGCCACACTCTGCTCTCTCCAGCTTCCTTCAGTACTTCTGTTGACGGGAAGCCATTCAACATGCCCGAGATTTAGTTGCTTACTTGTTTCTTATAGCCCATGTGTGGGTCGCCATGTGAACTATAGGGGGGCGAAGTCACTTGCTCTAAGCCATGCAGCCTTCTTTCAACCGCCTGAGAGCCCATGTAGTATTACTGAAGGGAAACAAAATGATGCGTGGGGCCTCCATCCTAACGCAACCCCTGATCTGCATGTTCCCTCTTTATTCTTAAGGACGTTCATGCCTACCACTGTTTCCAAACTCCCTTTTGCTTGTGTCCATCGGGGGAAATCTGTTCTTAGCCTAGAGAGTCACGTCTTTCAGGGGCAATTAGATGTTAAGAAGTTGGCTCTTTTGCTTGGAGAATTTTTCCTTCTGAAAGTGGCACTCACAACATTTTTTTAAATTTGTAAGTGGCATATTTATATTTCCACAGAAGAAAATTTCACCTTTTGGGTAGAGTATCCTGTGGAAAATTCCAGGAAAGAAAGGAAAATTTCTTGAAGTGGTGAGCCATCACAAGAAGAATTTTGACACAGGATAAACAGGCACTCGGGTAACCTCTGGTGCTTGTGACTGCAAATGCTGGCTGGGTCTTGCAAGAGTAGTCCTTCCTAGCAAATGGGTGCACGCCTGAGACTTAGCAAGGATTCTGGGCTCGCTGTGCATAGAGGCTCTCAAGAGAAACAATGTCCGGCGACCCAGTTCGGATCCTGGTTCAGCAAAGGAGCTGAGAGGCAGGAGAGAGAGAGAGCACCCTTGAGTAAGAGCTGCATGGGCGAGCTCAGAAAGGAACAGTTTCTTTCTTCAGTCAATAATCTCCTGCAGCCTTGAGCTGGGAGATTCGGGAGAAAAGAACGGAAACCGAGGGGGTGGGCTGGAAAGATGGGAGGTGAGGAGAAAACTACCAGTTTGCACTTAGTGTTTCATGTCATCTAAAAGGACAAATTTCGACCGGGGTGATGGCTCCTCAGATAAGACAATCTTACTGCACACACATGAGTAATTGAGTTTGAATCACCAGCATCCCTAGCTGCACCCTATAACTGAAGCACTCTGCGGGGTTTGCCAGAGGTCAGTCCAGCTCCAGGTTTAGTGAGAGACCCTTTCTTTTTTTCTTTTTTTTTTTCCTTTTATTTTATTTTACAATACCATTCAGTTCTACATATCAGCCATGGGTTCCCCTGTTCTCCCCCCTCCCACCCCCTCCCCTTACTCCCAGCCAACCCCCCATTCCCACCTCCTCCAGGGCAAAGCCTCCCCCAAGGACTGCGATCAACCTGGTAGACTCAGTCCAGGTAGGTCCAGTCCCCTCCTCCCAGACTGAGCCAAGAGTCCCTGGAGAGACCCTTTCTTAAGGGAATTAAGCAGAAAGCGACAGAACAGGACACCTGATGTCTTCCTGTGGCCTCTGCACATGCATGCATTCCTGTACACACACACACACACACACACAGGGGGGGGGAGTGGAATAAATTCTATTGTATTCTAAATTCTATTTTCCAACCATGAGACTAACTCTGGTTTTGAGTACACAATGCCCACATGAAAATAACTCACAGAGGGATTAACATGTAGAATTACCCAGGATGGTGTTCAGTGTGTTCATTTATAGACCTCAGTCACAGCTGATCAAGCTCCTCAGCTGTACCGTGGGTTTACAGCTGTCTTTCCACAGAGCTGTCGCAGTGCTGGACATGATCCCGAGGGCAGGCTCTCAGAGAAGGCGGCACTATGAAGTGGCAGGAGAACTCTGTGAGCTCAGCTCCGGCCTCTCTGACTCCCAAGACAGTAAATATTTTCCCTTGAGGAACAGACAGAAAGAACAGACCTTTGGTGAGAAACAGGAGATGAAACGTCTAACCCAAGAGACATCACACTGAGGCATGCAGGCTCCATGATGGCATACCTCACCATGATCTTAGGCAATCACTCCTCAGGGAAATGAAAGAGCATGAGAGATGGAATGTGCCTGAGAGGCTTGTCTAACCCCAGTATTTAATGTTTATGATTGAAATCACATAGGTCATCGTTTCTTTTGCTCTCTATACGGTTGCCAGGTGGGCTGAGTACCCTAAGTGGCTGGATATCTGCAGTTAGATGACTAAATCTGGGCTCATAGAAGCAGTATCAAAGGGGGGTCTGCTTCTGACCAGCAGAAAGGAATCAAACTGTTCCTAATGGCCTAACTCAAGGTGAGGTAGGAGACTTTCCAGTAAAAGTCAAAGGTCAAGAGTGAAGCTGTTGGCGCTCTGGATATAGAGAAGGAGTTGCCCAAGCCCAGGACAGTCATCCTTGTCCACACAACAGCTCATCCCAGCCACCATACTCAGTACAATGCTATACAGGCCAAGCTTCGTAAGAGCCCAGTTCCTTCCAGGACCTCTGAAGTCACCCACTCAAGATGTTCTTAAGCGTTCCTAGTCAACAGGCTCCCAGACTCCCTGGAGGCTGCCCTCTCTTTATCTTCATTCCATGAAAAATTATAGCTACAGCAACCTATGTGTGAACTGGGCATATAGATCATCAGATGTAAAAATTTTCAAAGTTCCAGTCCCTTTTGTATAAGGCAGGATCTTGCTTACTCATACTAGGAGTATACAATCTGGCCAAAGACAGTACCTGAATGCAGAGCCCCCCCAAATGAGACTAAGTGCATAATATCTGTAAGTTGAAACCCATTTACACCCACGGTGTAGCTCATATGTTGATTTGGAAGAAATACCTTGGGCTGGTGTGATCCAAAGGTCTGTGTCTCTGTAACCTTTACCACTGGTCCAGTTCTGTCCTCTGAGAGCTTGCTCACCAATGCTTGCCTTTCTCTCTAAGAAACGCCAGGCCTTTGGTAATAACAGACATGGCCGCTCACTCTGCCTCAGGATAAAGGCCACTAGCACTTCTGATGACATGATTTTCAACTATCTTGCCATATGTTCTCCAAGCAGGATGTGATGCTCAGGGGATAAACAACCACATATGAGTTGTACATTCACCACCAAGCCTCATTCCATATGTAGATAATAAAAGGTCTTATTTAGGGTTAGGAAAATGTTGTGCAGAGGAAACTTACCAATGATAGACTCTCCTAAAATGACTGTGACTACCACTGATTACTCCATACTACTACCCCAAATACTAACTGATAAATTAAATGAGAACATACCCTAGTTGTCTCCTGAGAAGGCAGACTAGGGAAGGCGGATCTCTCTTGCTCTGAAAACCATGTTGCCATGAACTCAGCCCATCACGACCACAGCTGTTTTGGTGGGCTGCATCTCAGACCCAGTTCATGCTGAGAGACTGCAACCTCACTCTACAGAGCTGTCAGCCTCGTCTCCCTGACTCCTGCTGTCGTTCGGTTGAGGCACTTACATTTGTTCCTGGTGTCTTATTTCATCCACTTCACCCCGTTTGGATGCTTTGGGGACTATGATTCAGCCACTAAAAACAGTGCTTGCCATTCTTGGCATCGTATCAGAAGCATCTTGGAAATTTTTTTTTTAGTATAAATGTTTCTTCCAAGTCTCAGTCTTGAGGTCTTGAGTCATTTATTCTAGGGCGGGGCTCAGAGCCTGTATCCCAAACAAGCATCTGAAATGGTTCTTTATCAGTCAAAGACGTGGGCTGCTCCCGTTTGCATCTGGCATGCCAGGTACACCACAGCCTCTTCGCTTTGATTTCACCTCAACACTTGAGAAGCAAGATTTTTCTAGGGAATTGCCTGGGCGGGGTGGGGGGTGGGGGTAAGATTCTACCTAGATAAAAGGAGGGTGATGATGACTCACATCTTTTGCATGCTATTAAGGTTTTCTTTCACACATTATTTCTTCTTCATTCCATGAAAAATTATAGCTACAGCAACCTATGTGTGAACTGGGCATATAGATCATCAGATGTAAAAATTTTCAGAGTTCCAGTCTCTTTTGTATGAGGCAGGATCTTGCTTACTCATACTAGGAGTATACAATCTGGCCAAAGACAGTATCTGAATGCAGAGCCCCCCCCCCAAATGAGACTAAGTGCATAATATCTGTAAGTTGAAACCTATTTACACCCACTGTGCAGCTCATATCTGGCCTCTTAATTTCATAGTGAAGCTGAAGTGAATGAGGACAATTCTTCCTGGACCAGAAGGATTGCTGTGCCTCCCGTGTTCAGTCTCACAACCCATTCATTTAGCAAATACGTAATGAGAAGACTGTATGTGTTAGGCCAACATGATTTGGAGGAGGACCAGTAGGATCAGACCTATACCCTTGAGCAACCCAAAGTGGGTGTAGATGAATAGCAAAGGTCCGGTGGTGAATCACATGGTCTTCATTCTGAAGAAACCCACTCACCTTTCACATGATAGCCTCCGTTTCCCACAATAGCAAAATAAAGAGAACATGGGATTCAGAAAGTCCACGTCTGCACCCATGTGATCCCTTCAAATTGTCTTCACTCCATAATGATGGAGGTCCTTCAAGCAGGTGTATGCTGAAAGACTTTCCCCCACATAACCAAGGCTGTTACCTCATTTTTATGTCACACGTGTTACATAGAAACCAGAAGTCACTTTTGTAGACATCCAGGCCCTTGAAGGCCCGTAACAAGCCTCAGACTCATTATTCTCAGAAGCAGGCATTTCTAAAAACAAAACGTCACCTTATATGTGAGGCTCAAACCTTTATTGTCTCTGGTGAGACAGGATTCTTCTCACTTTCCACCATATAGGTATGTAGCATGCCCTGGAGTACACACTGATTAATGTGCCTGTTTGTCTTATGGCACAGTTAAAAAGCATCTCTTTAAACGATGATTCATACTTTCCCTTTCAGCCTTTCTGGAGATTTTTGTTCATGAATCAAATGAGGAGGCTGATTGCACTACTATTTTAAAGAGCCAATTAAAAAGTTCATTAAGCGATACTGGAAGGCTTTAGTGAAGATTTTGGAAGTACACAGCTATACACAAAATTAAGCAGCTGGAAGTTGCAACTGGATTTGATGGTAGAGTTTGTTCACTTTTGCAAAGTAATCTTATTATTGTGTTCTCCTCTAGAGGACAGGAGTGGGTTGTTAGAAGGTACCGTTCAGGTATAAAACAGGAAGCCACATATATGTACTAGATGTCCACTGACAAAAGTTAATGATTTTTCTTCTCTTTAGAAGAAAAAGCCAGGCTTGAACCACACAGATTGAGCTTGACCAATTGTATTCCAGGACTTTGGTTCTTTAGTGAGTGAGGGTTAGGGATCAAATAGTAAGACAATTGAAGTTCAAAGCAGCTATAATAGACCAAACTGCTCCTGACATATGACCTTGACTGCAGATATCTGTCACCTGTCTAAGTTTATTCTCTTGGACTTATAAGTGAACTCTAATATCCCCCTTTGGATGAGATAACCGGAGTCTTGCAGCCAATGACCCTGAAAGGAGATGATTTATCCTTTAGAATGTTCTAGACAAATGGGCTTTATATACACATGAATCACACACACACACACACACACACATATATATACAGTTTTTTTCAGACAAAGTTTCTCTGTGTAGCCCTGGCTGTCCTGGAACTAGCTCTGTAGACCAAGCTCGCCTTGAACTCATAGAGATCCACCTGCCTCTGCTTCCCGAGTGCTGGAATTAAAGGTGTGCGCCACCACCATGCAAGATACATTTTTTGAGACAGGGCCCCAAGCCCAGGCTAGCCTCAACCTCCCTACATAGCCAAGGAAATTAAAATACCCTTCAAACTCTCATTCACCTGCCTCTGTCTCCCAGTTGCTGGGATTACACGTGTGGGCCACCATGCCCAGTTTATGACTATGCTGGGGATTGAACCCAGGGCTTCATGCCTGCTAGGTGAGCGCTCTATCAACCGAGCTAAATCCCCAAGCCTCCCACCCACCTCTAAATACTTCTACTGCATTATAGCCACATGGTTTTTATAGTATAACCTTCAAGTAAATACTGTTCAAGAATGGAACGTTAGCCACACAAATGCTAGAGACTTCCGCCTGTCAGAAAAAGGTGAGACAAAAAGGGAAGAAACACTTGTCAGGGATACTCTGGGAGGGATGCCTGTCCCTGGCAAGAGAAAGGACAAGAAATCGGGCCTCAAGCATTAACGAAATAGTCATGTCCTGGAGACCAGTGTCTTCTATGCTTCTGGCTCTGCTGTCATCAAAAGCTTTCAGGCTGAAGCCTCGGGTTGACTCCAGTGGGAAAGACTGAGTCGACCACTGGCCCCTGGCCTCCTGGAGACTAAGTTCTGAAGTCTAGGTCCATTGTTGGCTTGTGTGTGAGGGACAGTCAGCCCTGTGCTCGAGGTGAGTACATAATCTCCCCCACAGTCATTTTATATGAATGCTTTCCAGGTGACTCTGCACCTTCTCAAGGAATGTGCTTTTATATAAACAGAAAAAACTTATTCTGGTCCCAGGGTTGGAATCTTGAGTCAGTCTACTGGGAAGCTAATTCACAGACAGAGTCCAAGAGGACGGAGGAGGAACCAAGTACCCGCAGAAGAGATGGCTTCACATCTAGTTCCAAAGGACTGAAGACTCCCAACCAATGAACGATGTTACATGGTCCTAAGACGTCCGCTGTCAGTCCCATCGCCTGGGTCCGAGTGGGCCAAGAGGACCACACCCCGCACCATGACTTTGGGTCCACTCTGGAATGGAATCTCATGATGCCTCCTAATGCTGTGCTCTTTCCAGCTGGCTCCCATCACCTTCCCTATCACCTCCAGCCCCACGTGGCAGGCTGCTGCCTTCTCAGCAAAGCCTGAGGAGGGCTCTGCTCACACCCTCTGAGAGGT